ATTTTATATAAATATTTTTAAATTTCTGTGATTGTTTATGATAACTCTTCAGAAACAAATAATTAACAGATGCATGCTGGATAACCAAAAGACTGGTATTAATGCCACATCTTCTTTTTCAGTGAGCAGCTTTCATATTTTTCAAATATGTCTTAAATCTTTATCTTTAGGGAGGGAACTAAAAAAGTACATTCTTACTTGTTTGTGTAACTGCTAAAAAGTGTTTCATAATGGATATGGCCTTTAGTAATCTTTTACTAAGCAGGATGCTATACAAACTTGTACATATTTTACTTCAGCAACTACAACTTAGCAGTTTCATTTCTATCTTCTTATGCCAGGAAGTGGTGAATGACTCATTTCTTACAAGATAACTTGTGCATTTGAATAGAAATTGCAGTTCATTAAAATGCAGACAAACAACATTTGAAAATTCTGTAATTAAATACATGTGGTGGATGTACAACAAAAAAGTGGAAGATGTCTTACAATAGTTGTTATCCTTGTTTAACTACTCAGCCTCTAAAAGTAGCTAGTGAATTGATGGGTTTTGGTTAGATGTAGTTGTTTAGATCTGTAAAAGTTTGCCTAGATGTCTAGTGATATTTTAGAAATACCACCTTTGTTACTCTCCTATGCCTGGTTTCTGTCACATATGTGCTACTTCTGGATTGCTGTTTGCAAAGATTTCAAGAACCAACATAATGCTGTGTATGACACAGTGATGTTTTGTAAAACTTGAGCTGACGTGTTCTCCCCCAGTTCTATATTAACTGTAAAAGATGCACACTTAAAGTCGCTACTCTTTCACAGCTTGCTGTAATTTAAGATTTACTTTAATTTCCTGAGTTGCATACCCTTTTGTAAATAAAACTGCATGCAATGCAATGCATTTTTCCTTCTTTGTGTTGCATAGCGATATTGAAGTAACAGCTCATAGTGTGTTCTTTTGCGTTTTGTGGTCTGCAGTACATCGCTACAGGCAGGCAAAATAGGATTTTGTGAGCTTGGATTAGAATCTTGAAGTGCATATGGCACATGGAAACCCGTTCATCTTTTCAGTCTGCATGTATTTGTACATATATGCTTAGCCTATCTGCCTGTAATCATTAGACAGTATTCTCTTGAAAGTTAAAAGTACAATTTGGTTCTCTGCTATGCAGCCAATGGTCATGTCAGCTGTTACCAATATATCACTTTTTTTCCTACTGTGCATATGTTGCATATGGTCTACAGTCATTACATATTTTGCTTGTGTTGTAGAGCTGTTCCATGCTTCTGATGGCTTTAGTATGTGTTTTCTGCAGGTGGAATCAATACAGTTACAGAAGATGGGGCTTCTGGTCTGTTTTCTGGGAGTCTGGCAGTTCATATTCAAACTGCTAAACCACACAGTTTTGCATGAGAAATCAAACTCTGAAGGAGTTAAGAAAATGGTAGAAACTGAAAAACATGTAATGTTACTGTAGTCTGGTTGTGTGTATGTTAGCTGTCTCTATGCATGTGTTCGGCAGGACCCTTCCTGTAACTGGATCAGATTAAGCAAATCAGCCAGTAGAAAGGGCTCTCTTCCGTAGGAGTTTCTTTATTGGAACCAGAAGACTGTATTCCACTACTTGATTTTTAAATGTCAGCTAGCAGTGTCATAATGTACACAGCATTTGGTTCAAGCATAACATAGAAATTTTACTGTTAGCCCTTCCCAGTGTCTGACTTTGCAAGTGTAACGTTGTTCTGTCACAGCTTTTGTGTGTAAAGGTTGAGTTTTATAGAATTACCTCTGATTTTTGGATACCTTGTCATCTCGGTAGAGGTGAGATGTTGCGGTTAAACACATAAAGATGTAAACAGCATTAGGAGTAATGTGTGAGGCTGAAATGGAATTCTGCAGGTTTGGAACTTAACAATGAAATAACACGTGGAATGAATCTTACATCTACTAATTGTTAATCACTATCTACTAAAGCAAAACGCGGTTTTAGTATGTTGTGTAGGGACTCCGTCCTGCCTGTTTTGCCCCCTTTCTGATATTTATGGATAACGCAGGGACTGTCATTAGATGACTTATGACCAAAATAACTACCATCTTTCTAATACTTTGTAGTTCCATAAAGGTGGTGATGGGGAACAAACAAACAAAAACTTCAGGCTTTGTCCAACTCACAGCAGTGGCTGCTGAGAGCCAGGAATGTCTGTAATTGCTTGGCAAACACCCTGAGTACTATGGGTAAGAGACCTCCTGTTGGTAGAAACACACTCCTTTAGCATGTCATCTACAGAGTAGTAGATATTCTACCTGAA